GGGGGGGGGCGGCCACGATTACGGGCCGACGGCCGGGCGAACGGGCGCCTCCGGTACCGATCTGTCACGGTCCGAAAAGGTTGAGAGGGGGGGGGGCACGATTACGGGCTGACGGGCAGGCGAACGGGCGAGTTATTAAAAAGAAACAAAAAAAAAAATAAAAGAAAGAAAGAAAAAAGAAAAAGGGAAGAAAAAGAGGGTTAAAAAATGAAGTCCATTCATATAGATGATTGTCAAGGTAAGGAACACAGTACTAATACCTAGTTTACTACTCTATGAAACCAGACTACCACCTTCCGCCGAATGTATCACACCCCCATCATTACTGTATCAGACCAAAAAGATTGTTTGTATGCATTCATGACAAGGGTATGTTGTATTCGGGGGAAGACGCAAGGCATATGCAGAAAGATTGTTTGTATGCATTCATGACAAGGATATGTCGTATTCGGGGGAAGACGCAAGGCATATGCATCTCCGACAAACGCAATAGCAGGACAATGATGATGGTTCAACAATGCCACGACCACCTCCTCGAATAGTGAAAGAGTGAGTGGGCTGTGTTAGACTTTCGTAAACTTCAATGACTCCTAAGGACGCTGAGTCCTAAGCAACAACATAATCCAGATGCAGGAGGACAGAGGACCAGCCACCACACCACAGCAGAGAACAGTCATGTGAAGCTTGATGCCTCCAAGGGCAGAAATGCAAGGCTCAGCAGTGTTTGTGATCTGATTCAGAAAATTATATAAATATCCTTACCTTGTTCGCCAAAAGTTTCGACTTTGTGCCTTTTGACGATTTAGCTCTCTTTGGTGTGGGACTCATGCTGCTCATGCTTCCTTCTTCTGCATGGGAGACGGTGCATCCTTCCTCCTGACTCTCGCCTGTTTCAGAGTCCAGTGCAGTCCGGAAGTCCAGCCTCCTTGGCTCCACAATCATCTTCTCACGTAATTCTTCTCTTTCTACTTCCTCTCCCTCTCCCTCTCCCTCACTCTCCACTTCCTCTTCTGCAGCATCTTTCCATCTGTTTTCTCTCTCGTATTCCTCCTCTCGTTCCTGCTCACTCTCCTCTCCCTCTTCTGGTTCCTCTTCCCATCTGTTTTCTCTCTCATCTTTCTCTTCTCTCTCCTGCTCCTCTTCTATCTTCTCCACCTTCTCTACCTTGCCCATCTCCTCTACATCTTCCTCCTCCCCTTTCCCCTCTCCCTCCTCCCCCTCCTCCTGCTCCTCCTCCTCCTGCTCCTCCTCCTGCTCCTCCGCCTCCTCCTCCTCCTCCTCCACCCCCTCATCATTATTCTCCTCCTCTCCCGGCACCACATTTTCTTTCTCCCTCTTGTCTCCCTTCTCTCCATCTGCGTCCAGCCAGTCGAACACCTCAGCAAGTCCTCTCCGCACAGAAATCTCACCCTCCTCCTCATGATCCTCCTGCTGCTCCGCCTCCTCCTCCTGCTCCTCCTCCTTCTGATCCTCCTCCTCCTCCTCCTCCTGCTCCTCCTCCTCCTCCTCCACCCCCTCGTCATTATTCTCCTCCTCTCCCAGCACCACATTTTCTTTCTCCCTCTTTCCCTTCTCTCCGTCTGCGTTCAGCCAGTCAAACACCTCAGCAAGTTCACTCCCCACAGAGATCTCTGTTCCCGCAGCTTTTGAAAGATTAGAAGTGTCATGTTCAGGACTCTCTATGTATCTACAAGCACCAGAAACCCGACGTCCCCTCCTGCTCATTTCTTCCACATGATTGCAGGCCTCTTTGTGTACCTGGTCTTCGTTACATTGGCTGATGCATGGAAGTTCTTGTGCCCAAGTTATCTCGGACCTCCCCGCTACTTCATCTTCCATCACCTTCTGAACTCCAACTGCTTTCAGTCCCTCCTTGGACATGTCCTCGTTCTTGTTTGTGGCTGCCATGCCATGCTCCTCACTATCAGCCTCCCCTTCTACTGTACTCTGCTGCAGATCCGCACTGCTGCTTGACAAGGTCAATTTCTCGCGCACGAGAGAGAATCTGGACTTGATCCGCTGACCACACGAACTTTCAAAACGCCCAGCCAATCCCTTTGTCCCATGGCCCTCACTGCCAGCCTCTCCCTGTACGACTGTGCTCTGCTGGAGATCCGCACTGCTGCTTGACAAGGCCAATTTCTCCAGCACGAGAGAGAACCTGGATTTCGTTGGCTGACCACGGGACCTTTCAAACAACCCAGCCAATTTCTCTGTGCCATCTTCCTCACCCTTCTGGTTGTGGGATAAGCACTTGTCTGTTGAATCATCCATTCCCATTGGCTGACTCTCACTAACATCCCCCTCGATGATTGTGCTCTGTTGAAGGCTGATGCTGGTAGCTGAGGCCAACTTTTCCCTTGCTAAGGAGAACCTAGACTTTCGATGCCTACCTGCCGGCTTTTTCAACAGCCGCTCTACCTCATGTGGCCTACATGTCACAGTCCCATCCTCACTGCAACTTACTCCCTCACTGCCAGAGACTTGGCAATCGACCTCCTCCGTTGCAATCCCGCTGCTATCGGAAAGTACGCGTACATCGTCGGGATGTCTCACAGACGTCATCTCCACTGACTCAGGGAAAGACTGACCAGTGTGACTGTTCATCTTAGACACGACTGTCGAGCCATATGTTTTCAGCTCCTCCTCCCCTTCCTCTTCCATTTCAACGTCCTTACTGTGTACAGCCAAAATATCCTCCATACCGTGTTGTGTTCCAGAAACATCTGTCAGATCCTGTCCTCGAGCAACGGCCAACTTCTCTGCAACCCCCAAGCCCTCTGCTGACCCGGCCGGGGCCATTGCGCCTAACTTTTCCATCACCATGCTCACTCTCGACTTCCCGGACCTGCTCCATCCCTTTCGTGTGGGCTCAGGCTTCTTCATCGCATCCATCGAGTCCCTTAACTGCTGGAACATTTGAGCCGATGTATTATCAAGATGGTTCCTACTGGCTGCAATCATGTCCGCCACTTGCTGCGCTTGGTGGAGTCGATCCCGTCTTTGGGCAATTTCCTCATCCATCTGTCTTATTGCAGCTCGCGCTTCTTGACCAATCCCTTGTTGAGAAAGTTGGGCGCTGTCGCCCTTTCTGCGGAGTCCACTTCGCCCTCTGTCTTCGCGGGCTTTGAAATTCTGATCCGCGCCGCTGCTTCCGCACGGCTGCTCCTGTGGCAACCGCCTATGCTTCTGACGCACACATCCTGTCGAACTCCAGTACTCGCTGTCATACATCCTCGGTAGCTGGATGCTCGAACGGCACGTGGAACTCGAGCTAGGCAGACAATCGCCGTTCTCATCCGCAATCCCACCATCTCCACGCACCAGCCCACTCCCCTGTGGCGTTCCCTCTGGCAGGCTCTTCATGGCAAGAGGTCCTGACACTCCTCTATCAGCACAACACTCCCCCGAGGCTTTCCCTGGTCCACATGATTGACCTCCGGGAATCTTTCGAGACATAGTTTCACTTGCGGCTGCTGATGTCGTCCCACGCAAACCATGCACCAATCGCCTGTCTGTCCCACGTTCCTCCCCATCTTCCCATGCTTTGCCCTTCTCACTTTTCTCTCCATGACTAGTTCCTGCCTCACGGCTGTGACTCTCATTATTGCACTGTTTTTCTTGTGTCCGTAAGCTCCTCCCTGCCGTGCTGCACGAATCACTGCCACACACCTTCGGTCCCCTCGTTGAGCTGATACTTGTGGATTTGCAAGCAGACCTAGATGCTTGCCTTGGTTCAGACAACTGGCAACAGGGAAGGTCTTCAGAAATTTGTCCTGCAAAAAGACGGGCGGAAACAAAAGGCTGCTCATGGCGTCAGACTCCTGAAAAGATTGTCCATTCCATTTCTCTTTTTTAACTTCTTTTTCGTTTCTCTTTTTTTTGTTCTTTCGTTTTGCTTTTTTTCTTTTTTTTCTTACTCTTCCTCCCCCCCCCCCCTTCCCCCCCTTTTTTTCTTACCTTTCATTTACCTTTCTCTTTCTTCTTTTTTCACTTCTAAAAAGGCAACGCACTTGAGATATCACCATCGAGCTGGCCGGCTCAGAATCATCTGATTCTGGGCATCTGATTGGCTCTGGACTCGTACTCGCGTCTGTATTTCAAGTTTCAACAGTTCATGGGTGTACCAACTGAGCTACGCCTTCTCCTATCTCAACGTTGTTTTTTTTTTTTTTTTTTTTTTTTTTTTAAGCAGGACCATACGGTCCTGGCTCCTATTCTGGGGAGCGTCAGTCCGGTTCCTATTCCACCGGCAAGTCAGAATGCACATTACATTGAAACTTAACCACGCTTCCTTCCGTTTGGCCGAAGGACCCCTGAACAGCATTGATTGCTCCAACTTGGTGGAGGATTGACTGTCAGCTTGCCGTGTCCCTCTCTTTCCTCTCAGATCTGGGGGCCAGATCTGCCAGATAGTGATATGCCACCTGGAAAGAGTTGTTGTTCCTAGAGTACAATAACAACCCTTTCTTTCGAACTATTGATAGACACGTATGTTCATTGTTCTACGCTGCTACCAGCAAGTGCCCTCTTTCGATTCGCTTTCAACGTTTCACCACTTCTCTGCAGTCCAACTTCCAAAACAAAAGACGACGCTAAGCATTGGCCACACAACAACTATTCCGCTGATCGACGAGGAGATTCTGCCAATCCTCACACACAACGATCGCCATCTAACTTCACTGTGTAAGGAACTTTTTTTTTTTTTTTTTTGAGAAAACATCCCTTGGGGTGCTAGGGGTGCTGTGAAAGGAACCTACCGACTGTCACCGAGCCAAGTTGTTCTGACATTAGAGGGAGCATTTTTTTGGAAAGTAGAGGGAGAGAGAAACGATGCCAGAGCACGACACAGGTGCAAGTACCACATCTCAAAGGCCGGACAGGACAGGTGCAGCAAAAGGACCGCAAACAGTTCAAGCCCAACAGGACCTCCCAAAGGCCGGAGCAAAATTTCACTCATTTCCATGCCAAATTCAGCAACAAAGTAACATGCCTGGTAAATAGTAAAGACACACTTGAGGACTAATTACAGACAGGCAAGCCATGAGGTCGAAGTTAACACCCTTAGAGTTCCTTATTCAGAGACAACGGACCTCGCTTTCCCTTGTTCTGATCGTCGCCAAGTGCAGGCGGCGGTGGCTCATTCACCCCACATTCTTCCTCAGAGTGATGGCCTGCCTCTGACGCATCCGTGCCCCCACACAAGTGCTCCTTAAGTTTTTTCATCAACGAGCTATGCGGTCCTCTCATTGCCGCTTGATTTGCATCAGGTCCTTCAATTTCCAAGCCATCGCCGAGCTCACTGTCCATTTCCCCGACACGGGTTGCATGGTCACCAGATTCCCTTGACTGTTCCAGAGCCCCTGGAAGACCGTTCTTCCCGGTACGTTCCTCGAAGGACTTCCTCATGCCAGCTTCTCCGGTTTCCCCAGCTGTCTTCTCACACTGAGATGCCACAGCCACCTCAGGACATGGTTCACCCAGGCTGCCTGCTGCAGAGCTGGCAGCTTCTTCACGTGGGTTGCTTGCACCTTTGGAGCTCGAACCTCGCCTCGCAAACTCGGCAGATGCTCTACTGTCCTCCAGATGTGAGTTCTCTCCTTCGGTGCAATCTCTCAACTCATTCCCTGGAGCCTCGGGTCTGCTGCATTCTTGTTGTGCAGGACATATGCTCAGACCGGGGTACGTCTCGGATAAGAGTGGGGGAAACCTGAGTAGAACATAGAAAGAAATGCAACTTGTCACACAATTGTCCCAAGCATGTAATGCAGGATTAGATACCCCTCAAAAAAAAAAAAAAAAAAAAAGGTTCGGA